AGTGCAGTCAGGGTCCGGGTCTGCTACAGATGGTTCTACATCTGAGCTGCCCAGAGAGGCCCACTGCCGCTTGTAGATAGAGAAGTCAGCAGAGGAAATCTTATATGACTCCACCACTCCTTTCGTCTGCTTCTCTGACTGATGACATCATCTAAAGCAGAACATGGCAAAGGAAGTCTTCCACTACTACTTTCCTCTGCTCCTTTGACTGATGATATCATCTAATACAGAGCACGGCAGAAGAGGTCTTCCACCAATCCCTTCCTCTGTGACATCATCTAATGCAGAAGAGGGCTAAGAAAGTCTCCCACCTCTCCCTTCCTCTGTGCCTCTAACTGATGACATCATCTAATGCAGAGTGGGCTAAGGAAGTCTTCCACCACTCCCTTCGTCTTTGCCTCTGACTGTTGACATCATCTAATATAGAGCATGGCATAAAAGTTCTTCCACTGCTCCCTTCCTCTGGGCCTCTGACTGATGATATCATCTAATGCAGAAGAGGGCTAAGGAAGTCTTCCACCACTCCCTTCGTCTTTGCCTCTAACTGATGACATCATCTAATGCAGAGAGTGGGCTAAGGAAGTCTTCCACCACTCCCTTCCTTTGCCTCTGACTGTTGACATCATCTAATAAGAGCATGGCTAATAAAAGTCTTCCACCACTCCCTTCCTCTGGGCCTCTGACTGATGATATCATCTAATGCAGAAGTGGGCTAAGGAAGTCTTCCACCACTCCCTTCGTCTTTGCCTCTGACTGTTGACATCATCTAATATAGAGCATGGCAGAGGAAGTTCTTCCACTGCTCCCCTTCCTCTGGGCCTCTGACTGATGATATCATCTAATGCAGAAGAGGGCTAAGGAAGTCTTCCACCACTCCCTTCGTCTTTGCCTCTGTCTGTTGGCATCATCTAATACAGAGCATGGCAGAGGAAGTCTTCCACCACTCCCTTCCTCTGTGCCTCTGACTGATGATATCATCTAATGCAGAAGAGGGCTAAGGAAGTCTTCCACCACTCCCTTCGTCTTTGCCTCTGTTGGTTGATGATATCATCTAATGCAGAAGAGGGCTAAGGAAGTCTTCTGCCACTCCCTTCGTCTTTGCCTCTGTCTGTTGGCATCATCTAATACAGAGCATGGCAGAGGAAGTCTTCCACCACTCCCTTCGTCTTTGCCTCTGACTGATGATATCATCTAATGCAGAAGAGGGCTAAGGAAGTCTTCCACCACTCCCTTCGTCTTTGCCTCTGTCTGTTGGCATCATCTAATACAAGCATGGCAGAGGAAGTCTTCCACCACTCCCTTCATCTTTGCCTCTGACTGTTGATATCATCTAATGCAGAAGAGGGCTAATGAAGTCTTCCACCACTCCCTTCGTCTTTGCCTCTGTTGGTTGGCATCATCTAATACAGAGCATGGCAGAGGAAGTCTTCCACCACTCCCTTCCTCTGTGCCTCTGACTGATGACATCATCTAATGCAGAAGAGGGCTAAGGAAGTCTTCCACCACTCCCTTCGTCTTTGCCTCTGACTGATGATATCATCTAATGCAGAAGAGGGCTAAGGAAGTCTTCCACCACTCCCTTCATCTTTGCCTCTGACTGTTGACATCATCTAATACAGAAGAGGCAGAAGGAAGTCTTCCACCACTCCCTTCGTCTTTGTCTCTGTCTGTTGACATCATCTAATACAGAGCATGGCAGAGAAAGTCTTCCACCACTCCCTTCATCTTTGCCTCTGACTGTTGACATCATCCAATACAGAGCATGGCAGAGGAAGTCTTTCCGCCACTCCCTTCATCTTTGCCTCTGACTGTTGACATCATCTAATACAGAGCATGGCAGAGGAAGTCTTCACTCCATTCGTCTTTGCCTCTGACTGTTGACATCATCTAATACAGAGCATGGCAGAGGAAGTCTTCCACCACTCCCTTCATCTGTGCCTCTGACTGTTGGCATCATCTAATACAGAGCATGGCAGAGGAAGTCTTTCGCCAAGTCTTTGCCTCTGACGTTGACATCACTAATACAGAGCCATGGCAGAGGAAGTCTTCACTCCATTCGTCTTTGCCTCTGACTGTTGACATCATCTAATACAGAGCATGGCAGAGGAAGTCTTCCACCACTCCCTTCATCTGTGCCTCTGACTGTTGGCATCATCTAATACAGAGCATGGCAAAGGAAATTCTTTCGCCACACCCTTCGTCTTCCTCTGACTGTTGACATCATCTAATACAGAGCATGGCAAAGGAAGTCTTCCACCACTCCCTTCTCTGTGCCTCTGACTGATCATCTAATGCAGAGCATAGCAGATGAAGTCTTCTTCGCACACCCCACTGATTGACATCATCTAATGCAGAGCACCCTCTGATTCTGATATTATTTGCCTCTGACTGTTGACATCATCTAATAAGAGAGTAGGCAGATGAAGTCTTCCACCATTCCCTTCCTGTGCCTCTGACTGATTACATCTTTTTCAATGCAGAGAAAAGAGGTCTTCCATCACTCCTCTGCCGCTGCCTGATGGCATCATCTAATGCAGAGGGTAGGCAGAAGAAGTCTTCCACTTCTCCTTTTGCCTTTGCTTCTCTGACTGATGACATCATCTAATGCAAAGAGTAGTAGAGGAAGTTTTCTACCACTCCCTTCCACTCTTCCTCTGACTGATAACATTATCTAACGCAGAGAGTAGCAGAGGAAGTCTTCCGTTACTCCATTCCTTTGGTCCTCTTGACTGTTGACATCATCAAATGCACAACATGGTAGATGAAGTCTTCCACCACTCCCTTCCTCTGCTTCTCTGAATGATGACATTATCAAATGCAAAGTAGGACAGAGGAAATTTTCCACCACTCCCTTCCTCTGCTCCACTGACTCAAATGCAGAGAGTAGCAGAGGAGGTCTTCCACCATTCTTTTTCTATGTTCCTCTGATTGATGACATCATCAAATGCAGACATCAGCAGAGGAAGTGAGTGGTGGAAGACTTTCTTTGCCAGCTTTGGTGTTTTGAAGTAGCAGCAGCAAGTCGGTGGCCTGTTACATTGGGCCTCTAATCACAATACCAGTGTGTTCTGGCACAAACAAAAATGCCTGATCAATGAATTGACCTCCAGGAGACTCAATAGAAGAAAGTTTTGGTTAACGAACTTTAAACTAGGATCGAGTATGATTGTGCAGCGTGGTGTGGGTAGTAAATACACAAAGTCCGGTTGCAGTGAAACTTGAAACTTTTATTAAACAGATTACGAACCTTACAAACACCCTGGTGGGAGAGAGGAAAGCACTCACAGTTCACTCACAGATGTGACAGAGGAGAGGTACCGACAGCATCTGTTTCAGAGGGTGAAGTGTAGCTTGGCTGGTCTGGTCACAAGAAGGAAGCTTTTTTCCAGGGTAGGGAGTCCCTAATTTGTCTCTCCTCATCAGAAACCTTTCCCTACCACTAGTTCCCTAACAAGCAAGGTCTCTCTCCCTACACTAGCCAAAACCCAGAGCAGGGACTTAGATAGACCCTACTGACCCAAGATGGCCACTGAGGGTCACATGGCTGCAGCATAGCTAATTGGAACACTGCTCCATTGACCCAGGGAACCATAGAGAAACATTGTTTCCCTTAGACTTCCTCTCCAAGCTGTGGTAGCACATGCTTCGAGCGCCTCCTACAGTGGGGAAAACAAACCACACCTGCCAGGGATAATTGTCACAGTTTGCATTTCTTTGCTCCTTCCCTTGTAGTTCCTTTGGATCATCTTTTTCCACAGTAACAATGATGATGAGAGGTATAAGAGCGAAGCATCTCAGTGGACACCCTTCCCTTCTCCACCCAAAGATCAATAAAATGTCTAGAGATACATTTAATAAAACATGTTACAGGCTCAGAAAAATAATAACAATGTGGGTTACTTTGGCTCCCGCTGCTGTCAATCACACCCAGTGAGGAGGCAGTGGTGGCCGATGGAGGGTCAATGGACACAGAGAGCCGTCTTGGGAGCAAAAGTGGCTCCATAGCAAGTGGCTTGCTATTGGGGTAATCAAAGGGGGGAAGGAGGCAGGAGCCCTGGTGGGAGCACCTCATAATGGGCATAGCAGGTGTGCAGACCCAGGGACTCTGCTCAGGGATGGTAGGAACCATTCATAATGGGCATGACAGGTGTGCAGACCCAGGGACTCAGCTCAGGGATGGCAGGAACCCCTCATAATAGGCATAGCAGGTGTGCAGACCCAGGGACTCAGCTCAGAGATGGCAGGAACCCTCATAATAGGCATAGCAGGTGTGCAGACCCAGGGACTCTGCTCAGGGATGGTGGGAACCCCTCATAATGGGCACAGCAGGTGTGCAGACCCAGGAACTCCACTCAGGGATGATAGGAACCTCTCATAATGGGCACAGCAGGTGTGCAGACTCAGGGACTCCATTCAGGGATGGTAGGGACCTCTCATAATGGGAATAACAGGTGTGCAGACCCAGGGACTCAGCTCAGGGATGGTAGGAACCCTTCATAATGGTCCCAGCAGGTGTGCAGACCCAGGGACTCTACTCAGGGATAGTAGGAACCCCTCATAATGGGTGCAGCAGGTGCACAAACCCAGGGACTCAGCTCAGGGATGGTAGGAACCCTTCATAATGGTCCCAGCAGGTGTGCAGACCCAAGGACTCTACTCAGGGATGGTAGGAACCCCTCATAATGGGTGCAGCAGGTGCGCAGACCCAGGAACTCAACTCAGGGATGGTAGGAACACCTCATAATGGGTACAGCAGGTGTGCAGATCCAGGGACTCCACTCAGGTATGGTAGGAACCCCTCATAATGGGTGCAGCAGGTGTGCAGACCCAGGAACTCTGCTCAGGGATGGTAGGAACCCCTCATAATGGGTGCAGCAGGTGCGCAGACCCAGGAACTCTGCTCAGGGATGGTAGGAACACCTCATAATGGGCGCAGCAGGTGTGCAGACCCAGGGACTCTACTTAGGGATGGTAGGAACCCCTCATAATGGGCGCAGCAGGTGTGCAGACCCAGGAACTCCGCTCAGGGATGATAGGAACCCCTCATAATGGGTGCAGCAGGTGTGCAGACCCAGGGACTCCGCTCAGGGATGGTGGGAACCCCTCATAATGGGTGCAGCAGGTGTGCAGACCCAGGAACTCTGCTCAGGGATGGTGGGAACCCCTCATAATGGGCACAGCAGGTGTGCAGACCCAGGAACTCCACTCAGGGATGATAGGAACATCTCATAATGGGCATAGCAGGTGTGCAGACCCAGGGACTCCACTCAGAGACGGTAGGGACCCCTCATAATGGAAATAACAGGTGTGCAGACCCAGGGACTCAGCTCAGGGATGGTAGGAACCCTTCATAATGGTCCCAGCAGGTGTGCAGACCCAGGGACTCTACTCAGGGATAGTAGGAACCCCTCATAATGGGTGCAGCAGGTGTACAGACCCAGGAACTCAGCACGGGGATGGTGGGAACCCCTCATAATGGGCACTGCAGGTGTATAGACCCGGGAACTCAGCACGGGGATGGTGGGAACCCCTCATAATGGGCACTGCAGGTGTATAGACCCGGGAACTCAGCACAGGGATGGTAGGAACCCCTCATAATGGGTGCAGCAGGTGGGCAGACCCAGGATATCAGCTCAGGGATGTTGGGAACCCCTCATAATAGGCACACCAAGTGTATTGACGAGGGTACTCACCAATAATTTTGATCACCTAGGAAAGGCTCACTTCTCGATGATTATCTCTGCATTATCATTGTATTCCTCCAGCAATAATAATAATAATATTAATGGCTTCACGCTTTCTTACTTGTGGGGACCAGCAGCCAATAGAACCCCCTCAGCCCTCCCGGGACTGTCAGTGTTCCCCCATTAATCCTTCTACCAGACCTTCACTGGGCGATAATTACAGCTCAATAATTACAATGATTGGTGTGAGAATTCATTTAATACTCACGGCAGATCAATAACTCTATTGGCTGAGATCATTTATCATCTGCAATCAGACGGCATGACATCGCACATATACATCCCTCACATGCCTCTGTGCCCTGCCGGCCTGGAGGACAATGGTGTATCAGCCAAAAATTTCTGTCCTGACTGGTAGATTTTGCTTCAGGTGAGCCGAAATACAGCACAGAAACCCAAGGAGTCTTTAATAGAAAAGAATCCGGAGATCCTTTTCACATAATAAAGACAAGATAAAGCCTAGAGGTGGTCATGGGATTATAGGGGATCCACCAGAGGAGGAGTGTGAGGAATCTAGCGGATGAAGGGTTACAGGACTGTAAATGATCTGGTAATCAATGTGAGGAATCTGTCGGATGAAGGGTTACAGGACTGTAAATGATCCGGTAATCAATGTGAGGAATCTAGTGGATGAGGGTTAGAGGACTGTAAATGATCCGGTAATCAATGTGAGGAATCTAGAGGATGAAGGGTTACAGAACTGTAAATGATCCGGTAATCAATGTGAGGAATCTAGCGGATGAAGGGTTACAGGACTGTAAATGATCCGGTAATCAATGTGCGGAATCTAGCGGATGGAGGGTTACAGGACTGTAAATGATCCGGTAATCAATGTGCGGAATCTAGCGGATGGAGGGTTACAGGACTGTAAATGATCCGGTAATCAATGTGAGGAATCTAGCGGATGAAGGGTTACAGGACTGTAAATGATCCGGTAATCAATGTGAGGAATCTAGCGGATGAAGGGTTACAGGACTGTAAATGATCCGGTAATCAATGTGAGGAATCTAGCGGATGAAGGGTTACAGGACTGTAAATGATCCAGTCATCAATGTGAGGAATCTAGCGGATGAAGGGTTACAGGACTGTAAATGATCCGGTAATCAATGTGAGGAATCTAGCGGATGAAGGGTTACAGGACTGTAAATGATCCGGTAATCAATGTGAGAAATCTAGCGGATGAAGGGTTACAGGACTGTAAATGATCCGGTAATCAATGTGAGGAATCTAGCGGATGAAGGGTTACAGGACTGTAAATGATCCAGTCATCAATGTGAGGAATCTAGCAGATGAAGGGTTACAGGACTGTAAATGATCCGGTAATCAATGTGAGGAATCTAGCGGATGAAGGGTTACAGGACTGTAAATGATCCAGTCATCAATGTAAGGAATCTGTCGGGATGAAGGGTTACAGGACTGTAAATGATCTGATAATCAATGTGAGGAATCTGTCAGATGAAGGGTTACAGGAGTGTAAATGATCCGGTAATCAATGTGAGGAATCTAGCGGATGAAGGGTTACAGGACTGTAAATGATCCAGTCATCAATGTGAGGAATCTAGCGGATGAAGGGTTACAGGACTGTAAATGATCCGGTAATCAATGTGAGGATCTAGCGGATGAAGGGTTACAGGACTGTAAATGATCCAGTCATCAATGTAAGGAATCTGTCGGATGAAGGGTTACAGGACTGTAAATGATCTGATAATCAATGTGAGGAATCTGTCAGATGAAGGGTTACAGGAGTGTAAATGATCCGGTAATCAATGTGAGGAATCTAGCGGATGAAGGGTTACAGGACTGTAAATGATCCAGTCATCAATGTGAGGAATCTAGCGGATGAAGGGTTACAGGACTGTAAATGATCCGGTAATCAATGTGAGGAATCTAGCGGATGAAGGGTTACAGGACTGTAAATGATCCAGTCATCAATGTAAGGAATCTAGCGGATGAAGGGTTACAGGACTGTAAATGATCTGATAATCAATGTGAGGAATCTAGCGGATGAAGGGTTACAGGACTGTAAAATGATCCGGTAATCAATGTGAGGAATCTAGCGGAGGAATCTAGCGGATGAAGGGTTACAGGACTGTAAATGATCCAGTCATCAATGTGAGGAATCTAGCTAGGATGAAGGGTTACAGGACTGTAAATTATCCGGTAATCAATGTGAGGAATCTAGCGGATGGAAGGTTACAGGACTGTAAATGATCCGGTAATCAATGTGAGGAATCTAGAGGATGAAGGGTTACAGGATTGTAAATGATCTCCGGTAATCAATGTGAGGAATCTAGCGGATGGAAGGTTACAGGACTGTAAATGATCCGGTAATCAATGTGAGGAATCTAGCGGATGAAGGGTTACAGGACTGTAAATGATCCAGTAATCAATGTGAGGAATCTAGCAGATGAAGGGTTACAGGACTGTAAATGATCCGGTAATCAATGTGAGGAATCTAGAGGATGAAGGGTTACAGGGCTGTAAATGATCCGGTAATCAATGTGAGGAATCTAGCAGATGAAGGGTTACAGGACTGTAAATGATCCGTGTCATCAAAGTGAGGAATCTAGTGGATGAAGGTTTACAGGACTGTAAATGATCCGGTCATCAAAGTGAGGAATCTAGCGGATGGAAGGTTACAGGACTGTAAATGATTCGGTAATCAATGTGAAGAATCTGTCGGATGAAGGGTTACAGGACTGTAAATGATCCGGTAATCAATGTGAGGAATCTAGAGGATGAAGGGTTACAGGACTGTAAATGATCCGGTAATCAATGTGAGGAATCTAGCAGATGAAGGGTTACAGGACTGTTAATGATCCAGTAATCAATGTGAGGAACAGGGGCGGACTGACCATTTCGAAACTCAGGCACTGCCCGAGGGCCCGGGGTCAGTAGAGGCCTCCATGAGATGCCCCTGGTACCTTTTTCATAGGCTTTTTTGAATTTGGCCAAGGACACAGGGGCCCCATGATCCCCTATTGCCCAGGGGCCCCATGAGTTGTCAGTCTGCCCCTGGTGAGGAATCTAGATAAAGGGTTACAGGACTGTAAAATGATCAAGTAATCAAAGGATGACAGAATTATGAGACATCCCTGAAGTGAGGAGGTACAGAATTATGAGATGTTCACCAATTTAGGGATTCCAGGTTTATAGTGGATCTGGCGGGACTAAATAAGATCCTAGGCTCAATGATTATGGGATCCAACAGGAGGTTACAGCATTAGGCACAGTCCAGCAGATGAGGGGTTGTAGATTAATGAGGGATCCAATGCTAGATTAGAAATAGGATTATGAGGGATCCAGTAGTCAGACGTTTATAGTATTATGAGGGTTCCATTTGCCAAAAGATTACAGGACTCTGAGGAATTTGGACATTGATGGGTTACAGGATTATGAGGGATTTGGAAGCTGATGGTTATGGAATTTTGAAAGATTTGGAAGCTGATGGTTATGGAATTTTGAAAGATTTGGAAGTTGATGGTTATGGAATTTCGAAAGATTTGGAAGTTGATGGTTATGGAATTTCGAAAGATTTGGAAGCTGATGGTTATGGAATTTTGAAAGATTTGGAAGTTGATGGTTATGGAATTTCGAAAGATTTGGAAGCTGATGGTTATGGAATTTCGAAAGAATTGATGGTTATGGAAAAGATTTGGAAGTTGATGGTTATGGAATTTCGAAAGATTTGGAAGTTGATGGTTATGGAATTTCGAAAGATTTGGAAGTGATGGTTATGGAATTTTGAAAGATTTGGAAGTTGATGGTTATGGAATTTTGAAAGATTTGGAAGTTGATGGTTATGGAATTTCGAAAGATTTGGAAGTTGATGGTTATGGAATTTCGAAAGATTTGGAAGCTGATGGTTATGGAACTTTGAAAGATTTGGAAGTTGATGGTTATAGAATTTCGAAAGATTTGGAAGTTGATGGTTATGGAATTTTTAAAGATTTGGAAGTTGATGGTTTACGTCACGGGTGTCAAACTGGCTGCCCTCCAGCTGTTGCCACACTAGAAATCCAATGAGGCATTGCAAGATTGACAGCTACAAGCATGACTCCCAAAAGCAGGGGAATGATGGGACTCGTAGTCCCGCAACAGCTGAAGGGCCACCAGTTTCACACCCCTGGTTTACGTCAACATGTTTGAAGAGTTACAGGAATATTAGGATTCTGGCAATTGATGAGTTACAAGATAATGGGGGGGGTTAGCTGGCAGTTGAAAGGTTGCAGAATAATGAGGGAGCCAGAAGTTAAAGGGTTAAAGGATCCAACAGCATAGAATTACAGGAAATTAGGGAACCAGAGATAAAAGGGTTTTAAAGTAAGTTTTAAAAAATTGTAAAAAAAAAATGGTGGTTGGTGGGTAAAAAGAAAATGAAGGGTCTGGCAGTTGAAGGGTTACAGGATAAAGCGAGATCTAGCAGT